GGAGAGGCTCCGCAGCCTTTTGCACGGCTGAAGTCAGTGTGTGAACGCCATAGAAGTGGAGGATGTTCTCATCGATGTCCGGTCGCTTCTTTGCCTCTGCTAGAGAGCGAGTGACAAGAAGGAGAAGCGCAGTAGCCACTGGGATAAATCAAAAGGCACCTTGTCCTCGGAGACAGGCGGCAGGTCCTCGGCATGTGAGCGCAGCTGCGTGGCAGGTACACGCGCCCGGTAAGTGCAATGTGTAACACATACTTAAACGCAGCAGCCTCATTACGGCGAAAATGCTAGCAGCTACCTTGACAAAAAGGATTTGAGAGAGAGGACATTGACCTGAAACTGAGGTCATCACAGGCACCTTGTTCTCAGAGACAGATGGATGGTTCTCGGCCTGTGAGCTCCACGTGGCTGCAATGGTGGCTCTAGGCATGCACAGGAACATGAAACAGCAACACGTTCCAGAAAGAGAAGAAAGATCACTCCGACGCTGCCCACGCAACGCGCCTTTGTCTCGGCGAGGTGCACAATGCTATTGGCCTGTAAATTCAAGTTGGGACCTAGTGACATGAGGTGGAGAAGGGCATGGAAAGAAGCAAAGACAGACTTCCACCTCACCTCTCACAGCTCTTTTGTTCGATTTGAGCACTCTGCGGGTAGCCAAGTTGCGTGGAGACTGCCCGGCGTAGCGGCAGCCTAATGCATGCTTGGAAATGGAAATGGGCCCCTTGAGAGGACAGAGTGCTTGAGGGCTTCACCTGAGACAGTGTAGTTGGTGGATGAGGGTCGATGTCGGTCTCCAGTACGTCCTGCGCAGAGGTCCACACTTTTCTTCCGTGTTCCATGTCATCATGCCCAACCATGGTAGGAGGCTATGTCATCCATTCCTCATCTAGATCAAGATCCACGTCAATGGTCCCCGCGGCCAGGGCACGCCAGCAGCGGTCTGCAAAACCTGGATGGGAGAACCGAAAGTTGAAAGACCGCCACTGCGTGCAAGTGATGCTGAGGCTCCAGCCTGTCACAGCGTCGTTCTCCTTACAATCGTCCTGCAGGGGCTGGTGGTGAATGAGAAACACGACTGAGCTTCCCAGTGGAACGGTCCTGATCGAAGTCGAGACTGCGGGGCGTGGCCGCCCGATGCACGGAACGGCAAGCCCGTTGTGCCGGCGTGCGACTGCGCTGGAGTAAAGCGCCCCCACAAGAGTAGCAAAACTTTGCTGGGGTGGTGAGGGCTGTGGCGCAATGAGCACAGACCAGCATCAAGCAGCAGTGTAACGCTGTGAAGAAAAGAGACTTGCGTGGTCATGCATGTTATGTAGCATCGTGGCGCGCATGCGGCTGGGCTTGATCACTGCGCAGTATCTAGAGTGAATGGTTACTTGACCTGTTCATGGCTGTCTGAGGCATGGACGTGGAGATGTGTATTGATACACTGTGGGCCACTGACACTCGCAGTGCGAACAAAGTTCAAAAAAGGGAATGTCGGTGCGGACTTGGAACGCAACCATGGTCTGGGGCCACACGCCACAAACTGAAGCGGTAGAGCGTGGAACCTGACGACGTCGAGTCAATCAGAAAAGCTTCACGCGTGTGGTACACATGCACGGCGAAATAATGTTTGCGCGGAGAATGACTGATTCAAAAGCTGCTGGTAAACACAGCTGCCATGCGCGGCCACGTCATTTTGCATGCTTTGCATGAGGTAGGTGTGAGACTTGCGGTCAATGCCTCACCCCCTTTCCGAACTTGCCACGATGGCAGGATGCTGGGTCAGCTTGGCCCCGCACTCTGAGCAGAATTGGCCTTTTCCTGCTCGCTTTGCAAGTGGAACACCATTGTAAGGAAATAGGCCGCGCATCCGTCAGCTTTTCCCCACATTGACCACAAAAGGGTCCGCGACGCTTTGCGTGACACTTGGGGCAGCAGCCAAGAGGTGACTGCTGAGACTGCATGGGTGGAGGCTGAATGGTCCCGGTCAAAGAGTGCCCCTCAATGCGAACTTCAGGCCGCAACATCCCTGAGTCCCACTGCAGGAAAGTAGCAGGTTGCACGAGTGCCAGGGGTGAGGTCGTCGCCTGCAGAGCGGTCATATTGCACGCATGCTGTTTGAGCAATTCCATTGAAGCATGAGGGAGTGTCCAGGCCGACCAGCTTTCTTCATTGAAGATGAGCATCAACTTGGCAAAAGGGAATTGGTTCTGAAGGTGGTACTGCATGCAAACATCTGTGGCTGAAGGCTCGCGTGTGGGTATGAGGCGAACCTGATGATGCGAGTGGGACCACCCCAAGCACACTTTGTTGCCTGCCCGAAACTGCTCGTTGGCTTCGGCCCACTGAGCATGTCCCGCCGGTGTCACTTCGCACGCGCAGACCGTGGACCAATGCTCCACCTGCAAAAAAACAAACAGCGAGTGGGAGCGGCAGCAGAATGTGCAGAACGTGGATTTCGCGCACTTGGAATGAGATGTGGTATGTGCTTGAAATGGTGCTACAGTTTAATGCAATGGTACATAGAACCTAGTGGCTCTGTACTCCGGGTCTGCAAAATGTCGGTGAGGACGTGGGCCGTATGCGGTGCAGCGGCCAACCTCCCACCATACAGCAGTAGCAGCGTCTCCACGCCCGCCGTGTCATTTGCACGGAAGAGCTCGCGCATGGTCTGGATGGCACCCATGTGAATGCGGACATCTGCATACCCCTCTTGGCCCGCGTTCCTCTGAGCTCCGATCGTGCGGTGCAGCTGTGCGCCGCCTTCATCAATGCGCACAAAGGAGTCTAGGAGACTGCGTGTGTCCACAGCTCTGCTTGCAATCTTGGGATTGTCGTGGGCTGAGAGCGATTGCAAAAGTTGACCCAGCCCTTCCTTTGCAAGGACATCGCGCCAGCGAAACCCCGCTGGCTGCTCCTTCGTGATCCTCCGACACGCTGCACGCAGCTTCTCCAGCAAGCCACTCGTTGTTTGTGGGGGCAGGTGCGGCTGCGCAAGCTTCTGGGTATAGCTGCGTACCTCTTCCAATGCTGTGCGCAAAGCCTGCAAGCGCTGCGCCTCCATATCAACTTCAAAGTGATCATCCAGCTGCGAGCTGCGTGCATCGGGAGGACTCTGCGCAATGATCTCCGACTCATCTGGTCTTTGCCTCTTGCCACACAGACCTGGCGTGGACGCAACAGCAACGCACCACGTCTTAGAGTATTCAGTGTGTGGTTGAAAATGTGTTGCAGTGGGTGTGAGGTGAAGGCGTGGTAAAAGTTAAAAGGTATGAAGGATCTATCAACACACCGGCCTGGCGCAGGTGCCCTGGCGTCGCAAGACTCGTCCTGGTTCCACATGCGCACTGCAGCATGATGTGAGCAACAGCGCCTCGTTCGGAACCACCAACACGTGCACGATGCGTTGTGACACGCCGGGATGGCAGGGTCCAAGCTCCATTGCACCACAGCATACTTCTCAAAGAAATGTGTGTAGCGCTGAACATCAATGACACTCTCACGTGGCGTCTGTTCGTCTGGCAAGGCAGGTCGGAGAACTCCAGCGCGGCGCCAAAACTGTTCATGCCGGTCGGTCTGCAGAGGCAGCTGCAGAGCATCAATGAGGACACGAGCATCCGTCTCCGAGACTTCTTTTCCCTTGACAACATCACGACACCACTGGTGCATGACAAAAAATCTGAAGCCCTGTTGATGCAAAACAACTTGCGCCGCTTGACCCTGTTTTGCGTAGTGCGCAACGGAAGGGTAGCCAGAGTAGCGCTGAACTGCTTCATTGGGATGCAGCAAGCTGTCAGGCACACGTGGGTGGAATTCCGTGGCCGTCTCCTGTTCATACTTGGCATTGCAAAGCTCCGAGCGGAAAACGTGGTTCATATGTTGGAGGAAGGTCTCGATGCCGGGCAAGCTTGAAGCAGTCACATTGCGAGTGTCCAGCTCTGCCTTTGCTTTCATTAAACGTCGCTTGAGAGCTCGGTTGTATGACTCCACCGAATTGGTGTCCGCACCAAATGCCAGCGTAGCAAGAAACTTGTGGTGCCAGGTGGCGTAATACATGCCAGAGTCAGTGCGACGGAGATACTCCTTCTCAAAGTAGGCCGCCCACTCCTGAGACATGCAATGAGTTTTGAATTGACGACAGCAAAACTTAATTGAAACATGGGTGTCAACGATCAGACAGTGACAATGATCAGCTTTCCGTCGACAGATACAAGGCAAACAAGAACTTAGGCAGAGTGCGATCAAGTTTCTTCTTCAGCGTCTTCATGTCTTGCGCGGGCCAGCAAGTGAAAACACAGGAAATCAAAGATCACTGGCGTCCACGCTGTCTGCATGAGGGTGATGTATCTCCTGAATATCTTGGCAGAGTGGTGGCAGCGAAGCTTCTTCCAGCCACTGTAGCCAGCCATGGTTGCATTCCTGCGGCAGTGCTCGCCGCACTCACGAACTTGAGGCTGCCCCTCGCATAAGCGTAGCAGTCCTGGGGTCAGCAGGTAACATGCGAAAAATGTGTGACACTAGCCTTTATCGTCCAAAGGGCTGTGGAAACCACAGCCTTTCTTCAGGGTCCGGTCTTGTGCAGCCCTAGGCCACCAAATACCTGAGGGGTATATTCATAACATATACTAGTCATTGCCTCACAATGAAGATGGAAAGAACACATTCCCATCACAGTTTTTACGTGATCCACACAGCTTTCATGGTTGAGGGATTTCACGGTTACATCACGGTTACCTCACGGCCTTTACTGGTATGTGGGGGGCTTATGTGGTTTTTGAGGTGCGTGTTCACTGGTACATCACGCTCACTTCACGGTCCCGGGCTCTGACCTCAACTGTTATGGAGAAGAATTATAGAGAAGAAGAATTTGGATGGTCTCCTTAAGCACTATGTCAGCGGTAGCTGGGAGGCCCTCGATATGCTGTTTTGGGAAAGTCGCACCGGGGCTGCCGATTCCGGAGCCGAGGAAGACCAAGGTAGGCGATGCAACTTAGCATGTCGGTGAAGCCCGCAACCTGGCCTCGTCGTGGAGCTTCTGCAAAATCGGTGACAACCATGCAGCACGTACGGAGCTTCGCTGCCAGGGCTGGCTTGGCTTGCGCGAGATACTCCAAGTAGAAGTCAGCAGACTGCATGCACGCAGAAGACCCTTCAGATTCTTGCAAGGAATAAAAGAGCGGAGCGAATGACACCCGTGGGAGGAAGACCTGACCACGGCCTCCCGGGCCAGCGCGTACTTTGCCAGGTGAAGTGACCAAGTGCAGAAGTCCACCAATGTAGCACGTGTATCGGCCCCACACAACTTTGAACGTGCCATCCGCAGCCAGACAAATCGGCGCACTGCGCGGCAAATTCTCCAGGACCTTCTGATGTCCTGCGCATCCAAAAGCAAGTCGGAATCTCTTGCCTTCTCCCGCAGCATCAATGCAGTGGCCGAATATCACAGCCTCATGAGGGCCGCCGACAAGATGCAAACGTTCATCTGCCCAGCGTCTGATCTGTGCGCAGCTCTGTGTCCTCTCCCGCTGCCGCGCATGGGCCCTGAGCCGCTTGAACTTCCCAGCGATGCGCTTACGGCCTGCTTCTGTGGCACAACCTGCGTCGTGTAGAGCTACGTGCATTTGGGCCTCAGAGCTGTTCTGTCCCAGTGCTCGGGTGGCCTTGATCTCATGGATACTCCAACCTCGTATTTTTTTGCTGCAAGGATCAGCGCTGTGCTGCCCTGCGTAGTGGAGGACATAGTTGTTGTCTGCGACGGCTGTTGCACGCACACGCATGGAACACTTGGGCTGGCAGGTGATGCAGTGTGAAGCGATCTGCCTCTGCGGCACGAAGCGCTCATGCCCAGGGTTGAAGGCCGCTGCAAGCCATGGAGGATCATCGAGCAAAGTCCTGTCTGAGACACGTTGGTGCAACTCCTTCAAAGATACATCGGCACCCACGGCACCAACGGTAACGTTGGCTTGCTCCCGCCAAACCAACCGCTTGGGCATGCCTGCCCGCAGGCCCAAGGACTGCGGCAAACACAGACACATACCCACAGTGCGACGTGGAAGTGTGAAGCGACTGAGAAACGTATAACTTAATTCACAAGTTGTGCTCTGCAGAAAATCTAGATTCCAATACACAGTGCTTTCATGGAGTGGCCTGGATGCCTTCAAAGATACATCGGCACCAACGGTAACGCTGGCTTGCACCCGCTAAACCAAAAGCCTGGGGCGGGCCCAAGGACTGCGGCAAAGACCGACACATACCCACAGTGCGACGTGGAAGTGTGAAGTGAGTGAGAAACGTATACAGTAACTTGATTCACAATTGGTGCTCTGCTGAAAATGTAGATTCCAATACACAGCGCTTTCATGGAGTGGCCTGGGTGTTCATGGCACTGGCCGCACATGCCGACACCATGGAGGAAGGAACAGTGTCTGACCTTGGATGTAACGCAAAGAGGCACTGATCAATGGACTCTGTGTGCACTCCAGTGCATAGGGCACACAACTGAGCATAGGGCTCCACCGCATGTTTGTCTGCGGGTAGTAGGTAGCAAGCGCCTACGGAGGATGCGCGTCAGCATGGTGCACTGCGTAGCATGCATCCCTTAGACTCTACATCTCACCTGAGTAATGATTTTCTGGCGCTGCACTCCACGTGTGTGTGTATCACGAGGCGCGTCGCCGGGCTTGACAGAGCAAAGCTCAAGAGCGGTCCATACTGGGGACAGCGCCATGTGTATGGACGCAGCCCAATCCAGACCATCAACAAAATCAAGACATGGCTGTGGGACAACAGTGCAGGCTCCTCCAAGGATGACCTCTGCGGAAGGGAGACATCCTGGATTCTTTCCACCATCACTGGGGTGGCCGCCTCACGCTCCTCGGGACCGAAGACCTACTCGGACCCAGGCGGTCTTCGGGGCCAACTGCCCCGAGAAACGCGTGGAAGGCATCTGTTTGTCCAATGAAGTGTCGATGTCGGACCTTTATTGGAGTTGTGCTCATTTGGAAAAGCGAAACCCGTAGGTGCTGAGCCGCAGAGCGAGCTCTCCACGACCAGCCGCTTCAGGTCCATTGACAAAGGTGTCCACAGCGCACCGCGCAAGCACATAGAGCAGTAGCAGTAGACATAGCTACAAGACTCAAGGGCGTACCAAGCAGACAGAGATACCACTGTAGGACAACAGTGCCGAGGTTGTGCAAGGATGACCTGTCGTACCCAGGCCAACTGCCCCGACGCGAAACGCGCAGGAGCATCTGTTTGCCCAAGCCTGTGTCTATGTCCGACCTTTGTTGGAGGCGTGCCCACTTGGCAAAGCAAAGCCCGTGGGCGCTGAGCCGCAGGGAGCTCCGCGACCAGCTGCTTCCGGTCCACAACACATGTGACTCAATCGGCTGCGCAGGCACGCAGAGCACGCGAAACAGAAGGTAGAGTCCACACAGGATGGAGAAGGCGTGCACCATAAGTACGAGCGTGCGCTGCGCTTGTCTAAGCGAGCTCCGCACCGCTTTGCAGGTGTGTAGGCTCACGAACATGTATTTCGCGCTAAAGTGCAATACACTGTCCACATGCGCGGGTCCCATCTCGTTTAGAGGACTTTTGTAACATGCAAAGAAAGGACTCGCTGTAGGCTACTCTAGTAAAGACCAATTAAAAATGGTTTCTTGCCATGTTGCGTTCCATCAGCAAAAGACACACCGCCTGCCTTGAGCTCAGCCACGAAAAGCTGCCGGCTCAGACAGGGCCAGCGACTCCGATCCAATCCTGCGTCACCGCTCAAACTTGGACACGCTGAAAATGTCTTCTTGCAAAAATGTCGTACTCGCTGCCGTCCTCTCATTATCCCTGTGGAAGTCCATCCACAGGGACTTGGCGGACTCCTTGTCAGAGGTCAGGGTGCTGCGCGCACTCAGAGCCTTACGGCCCTGGATGCGGTAAGCGCCTGGCCTAGGGCCCAGTCGGAGAATGGTCGCAGCAGTGTGCAATCTTAACTTAACATTACCATTTGAATGAGTTGCAGAAAAATGGAGTCCGTGCGTTCCCAGCGCACTCGCCAATCATGTCGAGGGGCGGTGGGAACAACGAGCTCGCAGGCTTGCGGATGTAGTTCCTCCCCTGGTAGGTCACAATCTCGCACATTGCATCCTGCAAATGTGAGCGAGCGGCAAGACCGTGCAAGAGTCTCGCGCGCGGAGACGAGCAGCTGGTAAACCAAAGTAAGTTCCATCAACTGTGTGTGTCTATGTGTGTGTGTGTCTCTTTGGAAGAAGGAAGGTTTGTCAATCCTGACCTTGTCTTGCAACGGCTCTTCGAGCGGCAGCAGGTCATACGGCGTCGTCGTGAGGACGGCCTCGTCAGTCTCAACAAGCTGCACAGCCTTCTGTCCCACTGCGCCCATGCGCGCACGCAAGCGCTCCGCCGGCGACATCCGGCACCACTCGTCTCGGTAGCTGGTCGCTCTGCTTCTCAGGCCTTTGTGTTTCCACACAGCGTTGGCCGTGCACACGTCAGGGCCGAAGACCTTCCGCTCCTGCGCCGATTGGACCATCTTGTTGCAGTCCATGCAGCGCCCGCCCACCGGGCGTCTCAACTTGCTTTGTTTGTTGTACACCCATCGAAGCCAAGATGTCTCACCAGGACCACGAGAGCAAATGGAGCAACGTAAAGGGCTCTCTGATACCTCGCGCACAGGTCTGATCAAGAATTGATCCAGCTTGTCTACAATAATTATATGCGAATTTGGAACAGTCCAACACATATTGGGGTTCCCTGAGTCCCTTGAGACACTTTTTATAGCATCTCCGTGGTTTGGGTTTCTCGCGACGTAATATGGAACTAAAAAACATTGCTCGCATGAAGCCTCTGCATCAGCAAACTTCCGCTTCCTCGGTGCAAAAGCGTTGCGTCGCCTCTCTGAGGCTCCTGAAGTCCAGGCGCCAGTAATGTTCAATGCAAAGCATGGCAGTGCGCGGAAAAGGCGTTCTGACTGTCAATGTGCAAGATTTCCAATGTGGCCCGCCGCTATCAGGCTGCTCACTAAGGGATGCAACTGTACCACGCACGTTCCCCAATGTGGGGCACACTCAAAGAGTCCAATGGCTTTTGGTCAAAAAATCCCATCTGCGCGCGCGGTCCCCGCCAGTCCTGGAAAGTCTGGAGCAGCAGCGCATCCTGGCAGTCACAGAAGTCAGGTTGTGGTGGCGGTGGTGGTGGTACTGACAAGCTGAACCAATATGCGTTCTTCTGGACGAGACATGCAGCCGCTTGCCTTCCTCTGGCTTCACTGCCAGCCAAGTCTGGCGGCCGCGAGCCCAACTGTCCCTGAGATCAAAAGCTGCATGAACAGAATCAAAGTAGGCCAAAGGTTTCGAAAGCATGCCGCAAAGAACGCTTGCAATGAGATGAACGGATGATGAGGCTCTGGCCGCACAGCGAACTTCTCCAGTGCCGTCACCGGCCGCGCGCCTCCGGTCCAGGCACACCAGAGGAAGTGCTCTTCCTCCACCGCAGGTGGGCACTCCAAAGCTTCAAGGTCAAGGAAGAACTCTGCAAGGGTCCTCAGTGATCTGCGGCCGCATTTGGCAGCCGGAAGAGAGCAGGTGGAAGGGGGGGAAGCAGACGGCAGAGCACTTTCACTTTCTGCTTTAATTTTCTTCACACCTGGCTCAAAGCAGACTGAGGTCAGAACTTTCCGTGAAGGAAACGTGGAAACTTGGAGCACATGTCCTGCAGGCCACTATTTCTAACAAGAAGTTTGCCGGAGCGCCAGGGACGTAGATAGGGAGAACCCATGGTGGCCCCGCCCGACGCCGGCGCAAACGCGCTCCTCCACATAGCGCCGAGTGGTCCTTTGGACCGTCAACAGCGCCTCTTGCACATCTTCGAACCTGACCTTGGTCGTGCTGCGAAGTGCGATGTAAGGGCGCAACCTGCGTCCTGCATGGACATGGGCGCTCAGACACTGGCGCCTCCCGACCACAGCTCGTTCACATCTTCCTCCTGAGGCAGAACACATTCTCGACTCCGTTCGACGTTCGAGTGCGAAGAATATAGTCCTGCGTGCTGACTTTAACATATACCACAGGTGTTCAAATGGTCCAGAAAAAATTCAAACAAGCACTACACCAGCATAGACCTCAGATAGCACAAGCATAGAAAGGATGGACATCACCCTGCACTCACTGATCGCAGGTATTACACAAACGTCACTTGACAATGCGTCATACCGCATGATGTTGCGCATATAAGTTCACGCCTGCAAGAGTGTGCGCGCAAACCCGACAACATCATGTAACACGCAAACACGGCTCTACTCCAGAGTTCCTCGCAAACTCAAACCACTCTTGGTTCACACGCAGGGCGTGCTCATAGCACCCGGCCAGCACCAGCGCCGGCGCCCAGCGGCAGCACCGGTACCCTCCCTCCAACACGCGCACATCCAGCTCACAGCACCAGCACCCAGCACCCAGCACCAGCAGCCAGCACCCAGCACCCAGCAGCACCGGCCCTGTCCAGCAACCAAGCCGGCGCCACACGCGCAGCCAGCTCACAGCGTGTCTAGCAAAAGTGTCCTGTCAAACGTGTCCCGCAGGAGTGTCACGCCCCGGATATCTCAAGAGTAAACCTGCCCACGGAGGACTCACTGCCCCCCAGCACCCTGCAGCATCGGCACCCAGCACCAACACCAGCACCGTGTCTCCACCACATGCGCAGCCAGCTCACAGCACTGGCACCCAGCAGCCAGCACCCACCATTAGCACCCAGCACCCAGCAGCACAGGCACCACCCAGCACCAGCACCGGCACCCTGTCTGGACAGCGCGCACAGCAAGGTCATGAAGCCCATAGCTGTCGCTATCTGGGGAATTAGATCAAAGCAAGACGCTGAGTCCATGGCTGCAAAAGCAGGCTGCAACTCCGAGAACAATGTCTGGAACGCTTGCCACGTCACATCACGCTTCGCCTGTGCATCGATACCGCTACTGCGGCTCGCCCTCTGG